CATTTCTTCGACATATAAGATTTTATAAGGAAACATATTTGTTTCATGTAAAATTTACTTACAAATCCCCGGTTGTATTCATTAATTCATCAAAACCCTTAAAGATAAGATTACATTAAAAATGGAATTAAAGTTATAATTTGAGAATAATATATTATAAAAATAAAAAAGAATGTAAAGACTAAAGAGCATCTGTTGGGGTATTTCCTATATAAACCACACCTCCTGATTTTCCTCCTTCGCATCAAAGAGGCTTTTATTTCTCCAACCAATACCTCTTTTTCTAGGCGGGCTCAAACAAAAAGTTGTAACTTGTAAGGATTTAAATATTTTAGATCGTTCATTAGTTTTTTATTATTATTGCGTTTAACTCTTTTTCTTCACATATGATACAAATAGATTTACTTGCGATTATTAATTTAATAATAAAAAATGGTTTAAAATGATGTAGAAACTTCATGTTCGTCCTTAGTCGATTAGGATTACCTTAGTTTCATGATTCATAGCATCAATAACTCCTCCTTTAACCTATTTTACTTCAACCATTCTTTTATTCATTTTTTCATTTACATCTCATTTAATTATAATTTCTTTAGTTGATGTTTAATGTAATTGGTAAGAATTTGAATTTAAGTTATAACAAAACAGATTTTAATTTGTTATTTTTTTTATCCATGTTGATTTCTTTAATAATCTGTTAATACATGTTTCCTTTATGTTTTTTTTTTTTTTTTTTTTTTTTTTGTGAATGATTTATTTCATAATGTGTAACTGGGCACTTTTATTTTTTACTTTCTTGACACAAAAGTCCCTTGTATTTTTCGACTGCAGAACATATTCACCAACATCAACAATGGCCATTCCAAAGACAATCATTCTGCAAATCGATCAGTTTTGTAATTGTGAGGGATGCATACAAAAGGTGAAGAATACGTTTTGTGAACTTGGTGGTGTCAAATTGTTAGAAATGAACCCTGAGATAGGTAAATTCATCATCTCGACTACTAAACACTCAGATGTGATCAAATACGCTTTAGAGCGCACATTTTCTAAGAAAAAAGTCATTCTCTTTGAAAACCCTAAGCATCCATGTCAACCTCCTATCCATAACCACCAAAATGTGATCATTAATCATAACCATATTCATCAAGTACCTCCTTCGATTACTACCAATGCATATGATGTGGCTAAAGTGTTGGCGACAACAACTCATGCTAATGGACTACAAAGTGTGGAGATCACACATATGAAGCTCAACTTCAACAACTTTGAAAACCGACCAAGTGTTAGATCAAGACATGCAATCAACAATGTTACTCCACCATTGAAACCGAAACATACAAGACATGCATGCATCACCTCTACAAATAATTGCAATGGCATCACCTCCACAACAACCATCTCGACTAAGGAATGACAAGCATTACTTTGACAGGGTGGGAATACCAAGCCATGAACTTCATCAGTCCCACAACTCAAAATACATCAAGTTCATGAGAATTCTCTCAAATAGTTTCTGTAATATCTTCCTTTTATCATGTATTATAGCTTTGATTTCTATTTATTTTATCTTATTGTTCTTATACTTGTGATTTGGGATACATAAAGGATGTAAGCTTTTAAATATATTTTTATTACTTAAATGATAAGTATTAATTTTTTTTATAATTACATATAATTACTTTTTTTTTTTTACATAATTTCTTAACAAATTAAGTTTAAACATCATGTTTTGAAGCATTAAAACAGCAACCATTTATCTATTTGTCATTTTTTCTTACAACTAATCTCATGTTAAAATTGATAGATGAAATTAATATTAATAAATATTTTGAAAATGAGTTTAAATCATAAGATAAAATAGTAATATACTTTCATTTGGTATATCCTCTAGATCTATGAATTTATTCTTCAAAAGAATCGATTTTATCATATAAAAAGGCTTAGCAACGCAACTTGTTGTTCGTTTGCCTTCTTATTCGTTATATAAAACTAAAATAAATATAATGTATGCGTTTAGTTTATCCGCAAAACATTCACTTAAGAGGGAATAAAAAAGGGTTGGGCTAGTCAAATATTGACTTTTCTTGATCTAATTCTTCGAAGCGGTTTTAAAACTGATCTGGACGAAAAAATTGTTTTGTGCGCCTGTGCTGTAGTGTAGAAGTAGAATAGTTTGGAGTTTGGATTGCAATTGAAAAAGGTGCGCAAAGATAAACCAGCTATGAATTTTAAAAGCAGTCAAGCGCAAAATGAGAGTGGTTAAAAACTCATTGTCTTGACCGCGAATCTCGCTAACCGTTGAATTTTGGTAAATAGCACGCGCTCACGCGCAGCAGAAGCAGAATACGCGTCGTCTGGAATACTCACGAACATACCGCGTTTAGCTATTTCTGGGATCATACATCTGGTTCTGGAACGTTCTTGGCTACTTCATCTATATTGCTTGCGCCCCTTAAACTTTGAGGTATTTGCACAAATGGCTGAAGAGTTTTTACTAATTTTAAAGAAAACCACATTAATGTTCATTTTCTTATGTCAAAGTAATTGAATCTTATTTTACATTTGCAAATAGAATGCCACCTCTATGAAAAAAAAAAAAAAAACACATCGAAATATGTGCGTTATAATTACGGAGATCTTGATGATTATGTAATATTTATAATTTACAGTCAAACTAAAATAGTTGAATAAACTACAACACTGTTTAAGAGATAATGTTGCTATTTAATAATCGTTTTTAATTATGTTTTAGTATATTCTAATTGTTTTAGAAAGTGTAGTAAGTGTATAATAAAATTAAGTAATATAAGCAAACTCGTATTATATAAATTAGAACTAATTGTTGCAACTAAATGCACCCCCATAAAATAATTAAATTAGCTTAAACCTACATAGAATATATCAACAATAAAATTTAATTTCATCATGTTCGGTGCTTGTTGAAAGAACTTCTTAAGGTCCTATATATGTGATTTCACACTCATATGCATTTCAGAAGACCACATAACGACGAGCAACACTTCGTTTGTACTAGAGTACTAGACATTTAAATAAATTTATATAATTGCAAATAATTTTGTATCTCAAATAAAATATAATTGTCCATCATCTTGCTAGTATATCACATGAAAAAGGTTATAAAAAAACAAATAGATATATTCCCGTTGTATATGTCTATGTGTGGAACATAGTAGTCCACCATGCAAGTTTGACATTCAAATGACAATAATCACAAATGCTTATCATATAGGATGTTAAACACTTCTATCACGTCGATAAGAGTCAGGGTTGAACCTGAAGCAGGGTACAACCGCACAAAGTCTTTGATGTGAAAGGGCCCACAAATATTAATCCGTCATTAATCATTTGCTATCTGTTTTGCTAATCCATCGCTATCCCCACAATGGAAGCATGGCCATTGAAGAGTGGATTCAACACAGGAAGTTTAAGATTCAAACTTTGGCATGCCTAAAAAGTAGTTAGTGTTTTACGATTGACCTTCCATGTAGGCCTTAAGGTGAGTTGACGCAGGCTCCATAAATGACATTGTTTGCCATTCTTTTTTAATACAAAACTTTAGGTATACATTTTTATTGTGCGTAAAGGCCTTAAAAAAACTACGGATCAACCTAGTTACGATAAGTAATACTTATAGTCATGGGACACACACTCAATCAAAAATCAATCAATCAAACCCTAAATACATGTTTGCAAGTAGTGTACGATCTTCATATATATATATATATATATATATATATATATATATATATATATATATATATATATATATATATATATATATATATATATATATATTGGTTTTGGAAACAATTGCCTTACTTAAAACACTAATTACTATAATGCCATTTCATTAAACAATTTAAACTAGTTTAATTATCAATATTTTCTCCTACGGGGTTACCTCCACAAAGCATTTTTCCTTTGAAGCCTCTTTATTTTTCTTGTCCACTTTCTTCAACATATTGGATTTTAATGTGAACTAATTTTCTTTTTAAATAATTTTCCTTTTGAATCCTTGGCGTTATTGATAAATACATCAAGACCCTCTAGAACTAGGTTAACCGTTAACTTATAAAAAGAATCAACATCTCTTATGATGATACCAAGTTATAAAATAATTAAAAATGTTGACCATAGCTAACACGTAAGGACCAATCTATTCACTTCTTCCCTATATAAACTGCACATTTCTTGGATCATTTCTTATCTTTTTCCCTCACACCAAAATAGATCTTCTTTCTTCGTCGAAAACATCTCTCCGTTGCTGGCTGCATAGATATTTGTAAGTATTCTTAATACTTTTAGATCATTTTATCACTTTATTTCATTACATTTTTATCTTTTTCTTGATTTTTCATACACATACTTACATTTAATTATTGTTTTTAAATTAATATTCCTATTAATATAACATTTCAAAATCGTGCAGAAATTTCATCTTCATCCTTCGTCGATTAGCATTGAGTACTTAGTTTTCCGGTTTGATCAAGAACTCCTCTTTTAATCTTTTTCACTTCAATATTTCTTTTATTTATTTATCCATTCATTTTATATATAGTTATTATGGTACTCCAAGTTATAATAGACTTTTTTATTTATTCAATGATCTGTGGCATTATCTCAATATAATTTGTTGTCAACTGATTAACAGCTAATTATCTTCATCTATGCCTTTCTTAATCAATCACTTATAATTTGTTTATCTAACGTTTAATGGTTTTGGTGTCAATTGGTGTTTAATTTATAGGAAAACACTGTTTAATCGTCTCGTTTATCGATGTTGATATATTTAATCATTCATTATAACTTGTATTTATTTGTTTGTGGGCGAGGTGTGTTTAGGAAGTCAAACTTCAGATCATATTGTTCTGATCGGAGACTAATTAATTATATGTTTGAGGATTGTTATTTAATTTTCTGATATGAAACTCCTCGTATGATTCGAATGCAATTTATTATATTTACAGCAAGCATCAATGACGACCACTCCAATGACAATTGTTCTTCAAATCGATCCGTTCTGTAACTGTGAAGGACACATACATCAGGTGAAGAAGACACTCCGTGATATTGGAGGTGTCAAATTGTTAGCAATGAACCCCGAAATGGGGAAATTCACCATCTCAACTGCTAAACACCCTGAAGTAATCAAATTTGCTTTTACTCAAACCTTTCGAAAGAAAAATATCATTTTGTCACTAGAACATCCAAATCAATTGCCTGGTTTTAACAACCCAGATAATTTGATGAATATTAGTCGTCAAACTCCTGTTTCTTTTGTAACTCCTCTAGGTACTGCTGATGTTCATGATATAGCTAAAGCATTTGTGACAATGTCACATGCCAAAGGATTAAAAACTATGGAATTCACTCAATCAAATACTATTAAGATGAACTTCACTAATCGTGATAATGATCAACCATCTACCTCTAGGTCATCTTTAATTCACAATGTTCGTGATGATCCTAATGATGTTCATGTTAAATATGATGGTTTTGAATATGGTCCTCCATTGACACCACCTCCCCCAAATACTACTAAGCCATCAGCCCCACTCATTCCTACAACTGAAAATTATGTTTATGGGCATCCTGCTGAGTTATATGGTGTCCCAAGAAGTTCAAGGTATGATGATCCACATGGCTGTTGCACCATTCTTTGAGCTAGTAAGTATATTTGTCTATGTTTCATATTTTGTTGTCTTGTATTAGATCCATTTATTTTTCTTTTGTTATATTCCATGTATTTCAATTCTTATTATATTTTTGATCTTATACTTGTAATGAGTGGGTTGTTTAGTTTCAGCTATTAATGGTTGTTTGATACTTTTTCCTTTCAATATATACATTTTATATTTGTTTTTGTTCAAACATTACCTGGTTCTCAAAGGTTTACATGGTAAAAGAAAGTTATAAAGTATTCTAATACGTACATACAAACAATTCTATTGTAAGAGATATGCAAGTAGTATGTGGTGTGACTTTTGCTTAAACGTATCACTTAATTTTGTATGCCTTCGAGTGAGAGATCAATCGACACATATGGCTTTACACAAACTATGACATACAAATTTAAGCTTGCCTAGCTAGGACAAATGGTTATAAAACCTAGCATGGTGCGGTTTGGTGTGGTTTTCAGACCAAACCGAACCGCAAACCGCATGGTGCGGTTTTTGCATTCTTAAAACCGTTGGGTGCAGTTTTGCAATGGTTCGGTTTTTCGGTTTTAAAATGCGGTTTCGGTTTGTATCGGTGCGGTTTCGGTTTTTAAACCGTGTTAAGAATTTGGTGCAGTTTTTTTTTTAAGGTTTTTTTGTGCGGTTTTTTTAAACTGTAAGAACTAAAAACCATGTGCATATAAACTTGTATTGTTCTGTTTTTTTTAATACATTCATTTTCAGCTCAAAACAAAATTACATAATAAAAAATTGTAAGTCGCTTAAAATACAACTTGTGACCACTCTCACAAACTAATTAATGATTGAAGGTTGGTTGATTTTGACTTAATTTGCTACAAGTTTATTACATGTAATCGATTAGTACGTTTGGCTAACAATAAAACATTTTTTTGCACCCCATATAGTTTTATACAAACACAAAATAAACATATAATAAATATATTGTCGTTTATAACTATTTTAAATAGAATGTATATAATATACATTGATTGATTTATTACTATACACGCTTGTGGTGCGGTTCGGTTTTGATGGACCGGTTTTTAGGATAAAAACCGCACCGCACTGTTAACCTCGGTTTTTGCTAAAATTAAATCCGCACCATTGGTTTTTGCATCGGTTTCGGTTTTTCGGTTGCGGTTTATTGTGGTTTTGTCGGTTTTTCTTTAGTCGGTTCGGTTTTTGCTCACCCCTAATAAAACTAAAACCCAATCTACCAGGTACAATACTTTCAAACCATCCCCCTACGGTTAACAACTACAATTTATATTTTGTGCATATTTTGTAAAAAACATAATAATTAATGTTTTTTAAAAGCAAAAACACCGCTTCAAATTTGACTAACTGTTTGTAAAGAGCAAATGTATTAGATGGAACGTGTTTTTTGTAATACTTTTCATCTATAGGGTTCCGTTTGTAACTTCCTATTCTATTCATCCAATACTATAAATGAAGTATTTTTTTCTTTCACTCACAAACTCCAAATTCTTCATATTTCCATATAATTTACTTAATTTATTAACTTAAATATGTTGTTACTTATAAACATTATCATAAATAGAAGATTTCTTGAATTATTAATATAATATACTAAATTTGTTGACTTCAATATAATGTTAAATACATAACTTCAATTAAATATTAAATAAAATGAAAAATATAGTGTAAATTAAAACCTAAACTAAAATATCAAATAAAGTTTTAAAAATTCAACATATATTTTTTAAAATAGTTAAAAGAAAATTATTAGATTCGATAAATATAAAAATATTAAATCTAAAAGTCGAATTAACTAAAAGATATCTAAAAACTATTTTTTATAATAACTAAAACTCAATTAAGTTGTTTTTAAATTAATTTATAATAATAATTAAAAATAACATAAAGTTATAAATTAAATTATGTTACATTACAAACAGTGGTTGATAATCTATCTATATCTATATCTATATCATCATATATACTTATAAAGGAAACATTTATCCCTTTACCGCATTCATTTGAAATTCACATGCATTTTTCCTTTCATTATATTCATTTGAAACTCCCATGATTTTTCAATTTCTTTCTAATAATAACTATAATTTGGTTAATTAGGTTAAATAAATATTAAACCTAAAGTGTAGTCATATATAAACTAAATTTCAATATTAAAATAATATATTTACTTCTATTTATAAAGTTATGTTTTTTATCTCTTAACATATTATATTTAATTTATTAATTTTAATATATTGTTGGATGTAAATCATTATCGTTTTACAGATATAATTTTGGAATAATTTGTGTAAAATACTTAAATTATTAATTTAAATATAATATTTCAGGGTCAACTTAAATATAAATTTTAGTTTAACTTAAACAACCCAAAGAATATTTTGTAAATATTTAAAAGTGATAAATTGTAGTGTCTTTCTAATAATGATTATAAGTTGGTTAATAAGGTTAAATAAATATCAAACTTAAACTGTAATCATAAATAAATTAAATTTCAATTTTAAAATAATATATTTACTTCTACTTATAAAGTTATATCTTTAACTTTAATATATTATATTTAATTTATTAGATTTAATATGTTGTTATATGTAAACCATTATCAGTTTAAAGCTACAACCTTTGAAGAGTTTGGACAAAATAATTAAATTGTTAACTTAAATATAATATTACAATGTCAACTTAAATATAAATCTTTGTTTCCACCTATAAAACCAAAGATTATTTTGTAAATAGTTATAGGTGATAAATTGTAATAATAAATGCAAAAACTAAATTGTAATCTCAAATTTAACTAAAACATTTTATAAAGATACTTTTATAATCGTTAAAAGTTTTCAAATAAGTAGCTTAAAATAACTTATAATAATAACAGTTAAAATTAACTCTATACAAATGATTATATTGTTACCTTTAAAATCAAAAAATTATGTTTGATATTTTAAATAGTTATAATGATATAAATTAAAGCATTAAGCAAATATATTTTAAAAAATTAATTCAAAATAACAATTATAAATAACATTAAACCATATATTATATTTAATTTTATTCATGTGTAACTCGCATGTAGAAGTCATTTAAACAATTTAGATTATGAAGTTATAATAAATGTATAGATTTTCATATAATTCAAAATAATCAATATATTATATCAATTTAGTATACAAATTATTATATCAAATTTAACAACATTATTATTATTTTTTAAAAAAACATATATTTGTAAAGACTTAAACTATATATGTGTTTTTGCGCATTACAATGTCAACTTAAATATAAGTTTTATTTCCATTTAAAAAACCAAATAATATTGTGTAAATAGTTAAAAGTGATAAATGCAAAAACTGAATTGTAATATTAATTTAATTAAAATATAACAAAACTGCAAATTTAGTCCTTGTGGTTTGCAAAAAACTTTGGATAGGGTCCAAAAAATTTTCGAGTTGCATGGAAGGTCCAAAATAAAAACTTTTCCATGAATTTGGTCCAAATAAATATGAAAAGACTATTTTGCCCTTGTTATTTCTTTTTTTACATTTTCTTTGTTTATTTTGATTGTTTTAATATAAAAGAAAAAAAAAACGGGCATGACCAGTTGACCATACAATACCCACCCTACATATGTATTGAATGAGAATGCTATACATGTTTGATATTTATTTAACTTAATTAACCGAATTAACCTGTATATCATTCTCATTCTCAACTCTGAAAGAAGACTGATAACCTTTGAAGTTGGAGATTCGATTTTGCTTAAAGTCTCGCCGTGGAAAGGACTTATAAGATTTAGTAAAAAGGGAAAGTTGAGTCCAAGGTTTATTGGACCGTTTAAAGTTCTTCAAAGGATTGGGAACCAAGCTTACAAGCTCGAATTACCCGAAGAACTGAATGGTATTCATAACACTTTTCATGTGTGTTATTTGAGGAAGTTCACGAGAGAAGTTCCCGACATGATTCCATTTTCAGAGTTGAGAATTGATGAAAATAAGAGGTTAATTGAAGAACCAGAGGTAATTATTAACCGAAAGACTAAGAAGCTTCGATGCAAGATGGTCGAATTAGTGCTTGTTCGTTGGAAATATATGAATGGACCAAATCTCACCTAGGAAACGGAGAGTGACATGTTGAGTCGCTATCCGCATTTGTTTGTTGATGTGTGATTCCGGAGACAGAATCATCCTAAGGGGAGAGAATTGTAACGTCCACGTTTCCAGGTTAGGCATGATTGTTGATGTAATAGCCTAAGTTAACCCTTGTAACTCTTTTTAAAGTATTAATGATGAAATATTTGAGTATTATGTAATTTATGTGTTTATTTTCTGAATTATTATAATTTAATGAATTAAGAATAAAATACGCGTCAAAATTAAAGTGTGAGATAAGCTCGATATCTTTGCATGAAGATGCAGTGGTTGAAACAAGGATTCCATAGATATAAAGAATGGCGAAATCTGAGTTATAACAAAGAAGTTATTACATGTCGAAGTTTCGCGATAGAACTGGCAACGCTGAATGATGTAAATAGTGAATTTACGATAGAGTGATATTTAGCCTTAGTAATGTAAATGAAAGTCTTAGAATACGTTAAACTGAGAGCGTGAATAAAAAGAACGCCCAAATCTGACTTCGTATGAGGAAGTTATGATTTTTCGAAGTTTCGACTTAGCGGTATGCAGCCCGAATACTCGATTTGAGATTGAGCGGTTTTTAGCTGACACAATCTAAATGAGAATACAAGATCTCGTCGATAGTAGTCGAACGGTAAAAAGACAGACGAAAACGGAAATGAGAATACAAGATCTCGTCGATAGTAGTCGAACGGTAAAAAGACAGACGAAAACGGACGTCAGATGAAGAAGTTATGAATTTATAACAGAATTTTCCTGTACCAGCCTACTAAAAATAAATAATAAAAAATAAATTCAAAATTAGCCGACAGAGTCTAAATGAAAGTTGTAGAGCATAGTCTCACCTACGTCGAAAAC